TTTGCTGGAATCAGAGACGAGCCGCCATTTTACCCACCATAGGTAACATTATCCAATTGTGCAGTCTAAAGATTGGTGACACTTTGAATTTCATAGCAATTGGTTTCTGCGACAAGCACACCTATTTGTGGTACATTTATTTGTGGCAAAGATCTTATTTTCACTTTACCGAGTGCCTAGTAGGTAATGTGCGGATTACCTAGATACTCTGCACATTATCTAGGTAATTTGAGAAATAGAACAATTTTAGCAACTTTAACGGATCACGCTAGTTAATCTGCAGATTAGCTAGGTAATCTGCAGATTAACGAGTTTCGAGCTTTAGCGGTAACATATACAAAAAAAAAAAAAAATCGAGTATTATAAAATACTATATTGAATGTGATGTTAAATAGGAACTTCGTACTTAAGAAATTAGACCAAAAAAAGAACATAAAATTTCCGGAATCCCTACATGAAGAAGTACTTCTTGTTGAGTATGGCTTTAGAAAATCCTATATAAGTTTCATTGAATAATTTATAAATTTTAAAACATTTTTCAAAATTTTTGCACATGGATTTATTAAATATTCGGATAGAGTTACTTTAATGGCTTTATAAGCACTAAAAATTATAGCGAAATCGTGTGTTAACTATAATAAATTTTAGAATAATTTGAAATTATAGAATATTAATTTAATAATTTTTAAAAAATTATTAAATTATGTACATTTTATTAATGACAATTTACTTTAAAATAATAATTTACCTAACCGTTTTAAAATTTTAAATATATAATAGAATAACGGAAGAACTAATTTTGAAAAAGAAGCTGATGTTCCGGAAAGAAAATTGGAATAGTGGCTCTTCTTATTTTTCATATTCAAACAAAATGTTTGATGTGATATTTATAGTAGGTGATGAACCTTACAAAAAGCGTTTTAATGCCCATAAATCGATGTTATCCCGTGCTAGTTATTTTCATCAGATTTGCTGCGAGAAACATGAAAATGAGAATAAAATCGAATTACCAAACGACGAACCTGATGATTTTGAATTAATGCTCAGGTAATCATATTAGTTAATGTAAGTAATACTACACTTTATTAAAATATTAATTATAAATTTTACAATTTTTATAGTTGCATTTATGATAATAAAATAAAAATTACAACCCTACAACATGCATGGAATCTTTTAAATCTTGCTAATAAATATCGTATATTAAAATTGAAATGGCATTGCAAAAAGTTCATTTTGAAATCCATAAATTGCATGAATGTCTGTAATATTTATGAGGAAGCATCATATCTAGAAGAAGAAGATCTTAGATTACAAAGTTTAAAATTCATTATCAATAATACCGAAGAAGTTGTTTCGAAAAATGGATTAAAAGGTGCTCATCCCGATACATTATCAGTTATATTAAAACAGAAATTTTTAAATATCAAATCCGAATTACAACTATTGAAAGCTGTAGTGGAATGGGCAAAGTTGGAAAGTTCTATTAAATGCTATGACACTGCTTCATTTAATTTAAGGAAAATATTAGACCCTTTGCTATACAATATATACTTTCTTCGTTTGAGAGCGGACGAATTTTTAAAACAAACGATTTTATTTGATATTTTTACTAAAAATGAAATAGTTGGTATTCTAACTTGCATAGTCTCAAATGATTTATCTAATCTTCCAAATTGGTGTAACATAAATAAGCGTGCACGCAATCTAAAAGACAACATGGAGAAATCGTGGATGAATTTATGCTTTTGCCAAAATAAAAGCGAGAAGGATTTAAATATGATTCGATGTACTTTTCAAGCAAAAGAAAAAGGATTTTTTCTTACAGGAGTAGGATTTCTACCTTCGAATAAATGCGGCATTTTTATCAAGCAATTAAAAGGATTTCTAACTGTAAATACGGGTGACGAAATTGAAATCTCATCATTTCAAAAGTACGACAGTTTAAATATATCAGAACAAATTGTTAAATTTTTCGAACCAATTCTGATAAAAAAGAAACAAACTTTTGAAATAAGTCTTGCATTGGATGAAGATTCTCCATTAATCCATCGTTGTAATCAGCGCTTTCAATATTTAAATACGGCATTTCCATTTTCAGTCAGTTCATCAGAGATTGAAAATCCTTGTTATTTCAGTTCTATTTATTATTTAGATCTGAATTAATTAAATTAACCTAAATTCAGCAATGTTTAAAAATTAAAAAATGCTTCTTTAAAAATAAATGTTTATATCTAATTATATTTATTCTGATTATTGTATTTTCTAAAACGTTTTACGAATAAAAAATTTTTAAATGTGTGATATTAATACATTTTTGAAGGAATTTTTGGTTTCATAAAATTAAAAACTTATATTTTAGATATAAATATGATAGCACTACTAATAATTATTCGTCATACTACCTTATACAATATTGCAATTTTAATATATAGTTGTATGTATGCTCGGTAATTATCGTTTTACATTACAGTATTGGAGAGTTTTAAACACTGAACATTACATAAACCATTAATTAAGAAATTAATTTAAGTGAAAAAATTAGGTTCAAGAGTGTCAATTTAAAACATAGTTGGCTTAACATAAAACGTTTAAATGGCTTTCGTTATATTTTATATTTTTAATATGCCTGTTACTGCACTCTGTTACTTTAATTCATATTATAGAAATATTAATCTAATTTATGCATTTATGCTCTTAAATAGAATTCTTATATTTGTAATTTTTCTGAATTTAGATTTATTGAAAACTTGTTACAAAATATATCAATTAATATTAGTCATCAAATTTGCATAAGATTTTATATTTAAAATTAGACGGACTAATAATAATATGAGCACTGTTTTCTGAGTGTTATTACTAAACAAATGTTTAAATAAACGTCCAAATGCTTTAAGTTGGATTTAAGTTCTTGCGTTTTGGTGTCTAACATGCAGCAAAATGACGTAATTTTTCTGCACTCTAGAGCTACAGTCAAAAACAAAACCAGCTTTACTCAATAGGTTGACAATAGACGTACTTTTGAAGACGTAGTAGATTATACTTTATATTACAGACATTTTATATTTTATAATTCTTTACTGTTAGAAAACAACACTGAAGATACTTCATTTATGAACAATCTTGGTTAGGATATTAAGAGAAAAAATAACTCCCTATCTAGGAACTATTTATAGTCACTCCACTAAAGGGAAGATTTATTCTAAAAATAAAAGGACATATCCGAAAGGTTTAAGACATATATTTAAAAAATAGAAAATGCAATATTTATTTACTCAGTTAGCCTATAATCTTTTAATATGGAAGAAAGAGTAAATTTGATAGAGAATACCACGTACAGTTCTTAGTACATAACATTTTATATAAAATTTACTCTTCTTACAATGCTGTTTTCTACTTTTTTTGTTTTAGTGTTCGTTAAAGTTTTATTTTCTGTGAGCATTTCTTATCGTCCGATTACAGCTTCCGGTGTGGGCCTACTATTATTAGATCAAAAATATTTAGTAGCCCTCTCATTATATCTCAGATTCGGATATGTCCAATATAGATATTTGTTGTTAACGATATTAACTCTGCTTCTTTTAACATAATAATTGCTGTTAAGCTATCAAGAAACTGCAACAGCTCTTTCCAGATTTTTAACACTAGTGAAATCTGTCTGCTTTCAAAATGAAATTACTATTGTGGAAAAATGTTGATGATAAAGATTCAAATTATTGCTTTCCTGTTCTGAATGTGTTCAGAAGAAAATGATTTGGAATAGAGTAAAGCGGAAAATATTCAACACGAGATTCAGTGTTTAAATTGACAATGCCGGGCTTCAACTTTTCGTCACAATGTTCTCGATTCTTTTAGTGGTGCTATTACCCATGTGTACAGTATGTCTAACTTTTCCTATTAGCAATAGAATTGTGTCGGACACCTATCTAACTCCTTTCTGGGGAAAATTTTGAATCTAAGTAACGTTACTTTCGTTCTAAATTGTATACAACTATCCACATCTGGTCTTGATCTAACTTTTTCCTTGAGATTAAGGAAAGACAATCAGACAGGAGACGACAGTCGGAAATTATAGGTTTACAATTTTTTCAAATTGCAGGCTAATAGTTTTTCCATAAACACAATATTTATGAGAACATACTTCCCACGTAGTTTATACAATCTGTTGCCAAAATTATTATCACATTATTATCACAAAACATTATTATCACATAAAATCAATTATTCTAGCATTTTTAAAAGATTTATTTATTTAAAGTTTTATGTGAAGTCTTTCGGACGTTAAGGTTAGCAACTTCGATCACATGCAAGCCATCACAACCTGTCTAACACGGTTTACTTTTCAGATAGTAGTAGTAATAGACCAGTATTAATTTGTAGTCGTTGAGCGTCCTCTCTTCGGGAAAGTCAACAACTACTTTTGCTCGAATTACTTCGACCCCCTTCTGCAACAGTCAATTCTTCCTATCGGACCAGCGGTATGGTGGCATTCTAATAGGAAAATTACATAATATAAGGTTACTGGCAAGCACAAAATATGTTTTAAGCGATTTTCGAGGGTGCCGAGTCTAAATATTTGGTCCTTTTTTTGTTTTTTTTTTTTGTGCCATTTTGGGCCATTCTAGTATCGCGATAAATGTGACCATGGTAGATTAAAATAACCAAACTATATGGTTTTCGTTTTAATATTTGTTATATAATCGTATTTGATTTATATGATTATATGATTACAAATGTTAGCTTACGTAAGGATTTACCACACCGAGTGACCAATCTAATACATTTTAAATTAAAAATTCTTTATTGCTCCACTGTACACGATTTAAAGAAATTTTAAAATGTGTTAGATTGGGCACTTGGTGTGATAAACCCTTACGTAAGATAACCTTTGTAATTATATAAATTAAATACTGTAACATAATAGAAGGATTAGAACTATGAAATAATGTAATAATCTTAATGTTTGCTGTTATTTTTCTTTTGCCCAGACAACGCCGGTCTTACCTACTAGTTTAATATATAATTTATTCAATTTTAATTATTAATAAAGCTAATACTTNGTAGCGATCTCACATGCTCGACTCAACGTGAGTAGCAACTCGCATGGTGAGATGGGAAAGCACGTGAGTTAGAACTCGAGACTACCAATTTGACGTCAGTGTGTGAGTTGGTACCACGTGACACCTTCAACACGTTGGGAGTTGTAACACGAAAAACTCGAGACTAAGGCCCCTGGGTGGTCTAGATTTCATGGTAACTTACACGTCTGAAGAATCCTAGAGAATAAGAAAAATAGTGTAAAAAAATTCCATACAGATCGGTAAAACTGTTTAAAAGTGTGTATAGATAACAAACAACAGACGTTCTGTTATGTACTGTATGTAATATCTTATATACTAATAAGATAATTATATTATAATCCGAAATTACAAAATACAATATTTATTCTAAAATTTAAACCAAAATTAGAATAAAAATAGCATTTTTTAGATTGATAATTTATCTTGAAGGCTGTTCGTAAATTACGTAATGCAGATATGAGTGGTTAGGTATGTAAATAACGATGCGTTATAACGAGATGCTTACACAACCATAACGTAATGCACTTTATACCAGTCTTTAAATTTATTGATGTTTGTTAAATATATAGGACTCAATTATGCTACCGAGTTTTTTGCCAAATGCGACAACATACCACGTGCTGTGTATTATTCCTTAGTAAAATTAAAGGACATTAGACACTAAAGACTCCAAGATATGTGTTACGTAATTTTGAAGATAAGTATGTTCCACAGCGTTATGGAGAGCTAAGGGATTTTAAATTGCTCTTTTTGTGTTAATTACTCTTAATTTCTCATACAACATTCAATTAATTTAATTTAGATAAGGAAATAATGCTTTATTTGAATGCATTCATATATTTATAGCGTTATCATACATCCTCACTTAAGCCGAACATCTTTATTTTGAGGCTGAAAAGTACTGTTCGCACACATTTCCAATGATTGGACGTTTTTGTCTTCGTTTAACGATTTCACATGTAAAAATAAGTATTTTCTGTGGTGATTTCTAGTAACCGTGAACGAATGAAAAGGCGAGATAAGATTAACGAGAACAATTATTAGCTTACATACATCCGACTTGGATCTTACACAAAAGGCATCTGCTATCGTGACGAAATAATTGACGAAATAAAAGTATATATTTATCAGATGATAGATAAAGACTCCGTTTGTAAACAATTTACCTTTTGTATATACAACTGACAAGGTTATCTTTCAAATTATAAATAGACTCGATTTCGAACGGTCTTTTGATGGTCGGACATACAAAAAATGAACAGATAGCGCCTAACTGAAGCGCGGTTTACAATAACGAATATGATTAATCTTAACATTTTCTCTGTTAGCGTTAATCAAATTTAAAATTCAGAAGTTGGCTACCCGACCAATTGAATAGTTTCTACTTCTGCCGTTATATTTTTAGTATCGTTTTTCGCTTTGCGTTTTCGCTTTCAGATCTGACTTCTTTATCAGCAATCTCCGCTTTTCAGTCACATGTGGATGGCATATAGCATTAACTTTTGCTTTCTGTTTACTAAGATAATTTATAGTTTATATATCTAGATTCATCGAAGCGATTGCTTGTTTAAATCAACTTACTACGTAAGTAGAAGTAAAATTTTATTCTTTACAATATAATCAATAGAAAAATAGTAACTGAGGAATTAGGGAAAAAATCAACTAAACAACAATAACATCGTCTAGGAAAGTTTCTAAAACATAGTTTGAAATTGCGTGTATGTTGCGGTTGATTGAGGACATCTTCATGTTAGGATTTCACAACATGGTAATCAGACGCTGGATGGCAGAGGCGGTTAACGCGTCATCCTACCACTCTGTCCGATCGGGATCGAATCCGGGCCAGTAACCCCACGAATCTTTTCGTGAGTGGTCTGTTCCTCATCCTACTACTCAAGTTTTTTGCGTTAGATTCCTATTTAATTCTTTTATTAACGTCCGGTTTAGAATTGTAAAAATAGAATTCATTAATTTACTACAAATTTTACTTTCCCAGCTGTTACGCATATTGTTACTGTGAATGACCAATATCTGGCGAATGTCGAGATTCTCCGGTGAATGTCAGCATTCACACAGTCGTTTCGTGTATGTACGAAATATTTCCTAAATATGATTGGATGGTGAGGTGATGGATGTCGC